TCGCACCTTGATACCGTTGTGGTTGAGATCCTGGACACACTGTCGCAGTCTCTTGGGAAGGTTCAGCTTCTTCTCAACCATCCACCCCTCTTGGCCAGTGTCTTCGATCGTATCGTGCCAGTGCTCGTCGCGCTCGACATCGAACTTCCAGTTAGAGACTTCTCTTTCGGTCCTGTGTTCCTTGAAAACGTTGCCCGTGGGCCCCTGTAATGTGCACTCTCGGATTTCCAGCATCTTGACTGAAATCTCCCCCATTTCGAGGCCCTTCAAGAGGGGTGTAAATCGCATCTGTAATGGTACTGTGGCGCCAAAGACTACGGCCTTTTGCGGGATGATAATGGAGTAGTCGACCTTGTTCGGCCAAATGTTCTCGACGCTCATGGCGTGGAGGTATTCGAGGGCAGCGGGCTCGAGGGTGCGGATAATGCGCAGCGCCTTGTAGGCGTGCAGATCGTAGGCGAGCTTGCCGCGGGCGACGGTAGCCTTGAGCTTGTAGGTGATGCTCGCTTCGGGGATGCCTTCGACACTCTCGGCGGTGTTGCCAGGCAGGGTGTACTCAAAAGGCCACTCATAGTTGCCGGCCGGCAAGATGGTGTTCTTGCCACCAGTGCCGCCGACAAACGGAGCCCAGCGGTGTTGGAGCAGTGTGGTGGTCTTGTCGACTTTTTGGCTGGAGACGCCAGAAGCGACGGTCTTGGAGTAATCCCACCTATTGAGAGCGCAAGTCAGTTGACTTATCTGCAGCAAATCGAACCGGAAATAAGGAGGGCCTCATACGTTAATCGGTGGGTGCCCGTCAGTCGCAGGTGGACGTCTTCGATCTTCAGCGGCGTGGGCAGGCAGAGCACCACGACGCCCTTGAGGATCTGACCAGCAGACTCATCCTCTCCTCCGCGAAATACGATAAAATCATTGTCTAGTCTATAGGGCGTCAGACGTCAGCGGGGGCGCTCTTCAAAAACGGGACTGACAAAGAGTCACAGCCGGAAAAGAGAATTTGGAGAGAGAGGAAAGAAGAGCCGGAATTTGGAGACGTGGGGCAAGAGGGCATACCTGATCTCAAAAAGCGAAGCAGCATGCTTGCCTGTGACAGTCGAGAATGGGTTGAATGACGGCATCTTCAAAGGTTGGGTGTGTCATGAACCAAGCGGTATGCCTGGGTAAGAAGAAACAGCCTAAACATATGGGAAGGAGAGGTCTGGAGACGAGCTTGTATTTATCGACGGAGCGTCCTTTCTGGGTACGAAGTACATTCGTCAGATCAAAGGTGGGCGCGGGCAAGCGACCAAGCGCAACAAGCAAAAAGCTCGCGCCTTTACCTCACAAACGGGCAGCCCACCCACGTCGATATGCAAAGCGTGGGAAGTGGAAGCCGAAAATCGAAAACCCACGCCCGTCATCCACCACGGCCACGCCCCTGCCCCTCGGCGGGTTCTCGCTCTTGGTGGGATAGGTGGGGCATCCTTGATTCGGCAGCAAAAAAAGATTGATAGGTGAGGTGTGAGGCCGGGAGGTGTGCGAAGACGAAGAGGAGAGTTCCTTGTTCAGGGTCCCCATGAACCTTGTGGACGGAGAAAGGATAAGGAGAACCTAACGAAGAGATGGGATCAGAGCCAGAGGAAAGGGGCGCAAGCCTGCGGCGGCGGTACACCTATACAGTACGGGTACGTACACCGGGTACGGATACTGGCGCAGGAAGCAGGAATTCCGTCCATTTCCTGGCTTTCAGGAGGATGGATGATGAGGGTCAGCGGCAGCCACCGGGCAAGGAGGACGGCCCAAGACGGAGCCGGGGGGGGGGGGGGTGTTGCCCACCTCATCCAGGCCATGGACCATGGCGAAGAAACGAGGTGCAGCAGGGCTGGGTCGATGCGACAGACAGACCCAGATGCAAGGCGAGAATGAGGTAAGGTACGGATGGTCAATGGGTGCGTGCACGCTGACCCTGGATGTCTCTTGCCCTGCTGTCACATACGGATAGGTACGAATACCTTGGGGAGTTATACAGTGTATCCGTAGGTACCCACGTACCCTTTTCCTTGCGGGAGAGAACCCCGACTTGACACCGACTGGGGGAAGGGCTGTGGCTGTCAGATGGGAATCAGCAGCGACTCACTCACATCTGAGGGACGACGTAGAGACCGGGTGTGTATCTGCGCTGTGGTCTGTGCCTATCATCCCGTGCTTGCTGCGTGGCTGCTTGGTGGCGCGCGTGGTGTCGGGAACCAAGACATGGGTTCGGCGGCGATGGTGCCCTGCCGCTGGTGAATGAGTCTATCCGTACGGAGTACGTAGTAGGTATGAGAAAGTGGGATGAATTTCCTCTTCCTCTTGCGGCTTTTGCCTCGGACGACGAGGAGGGGTGTGGGTGAATCATGGTCAGTCTCTCGGTCAAACCAAGCATCTGAACCATCTACACTCTTTTAGCGCAAAAAAATAAAAAAGTCATGACGAGAGCAGGCGGCATCTATGCGCGCTCTTCGCATTGTTTCCGTGCCTGACTCTGATACACTGATGAACGGGTATCATCTCACCAGCCATCCAAACTAGAAGCGGCCTATCTAAGGCTATCTGGAGCGACGGTGAACCGATGGCGCGTTTTTAGCAGAGATGCGTGTTGCGGCTACTTACGCTGACGCCGATGCTGATGAGTCTAAGTTTGAGCAGCCTGAGCTTGTTGTCTGACTCTCCCGTCCTCATCATCGCACACCATCGTTATCTCTTATCCCTTGACCAGACTCAGCAGCCAGCACTTGTTCAGAGCTGGGATGGGTTTAGTGGGAGAGCGGCTGTGAGTTTGCTGACTTTGGTGTGGTGGATTGTTTGGCCGGCTTGGCAGCCCCCCAAAGGCAAAAGGATGGTGCAGGCTGTGGTGAGAAAATACCTGCTTTCGTACCTCCGTACCTTGTTGTGTATCTCAAAACGCTACGCTGCACATCTCATCTGGGTAATCATCGTGTAAACGTAGGCTCGGATCATCGTCAAAGTCGTGGTATTCTGCCTCATTAGGAGTCTGGCCTGCACTTTTGGCTGCTCATGTGGCCATCCGAGGCCGGATCGTCTGTACATAAAAACAAAAACCAAAAAAACCGGAAGTTTACCTAAAATGCGACTCTCTGAAATTAGCACACCAAACTGGCGACGGAGAAACTGAATGACGGGCAGATACAGAGAGAGGGGGAAAAAGCAAGCCAAATTGAAACACATGGTTCGAGCGCCTGCACTTGCACTTTCAGGCCCACGGGTGGTTGCTACTGCTCGGATTGCGCCCGGCTTTGAGATACTGCGGCCTACACCTTATTCGCGCGCAACCTCACGTACCTGCCTACCTACCTTAACTTTTACTCCGTACATAGACGGTAAGACAAACCTGCTGCTGCACGCAATTAAGGTGTCCGCGATGCCTCACAGCTACAGGATAACATCTGCCCATTGCACATGGAAAGGTAAGTCTCCGATGCGCCTCGCTTCATCAGAAGGAAGCTCCGACGGGCGGCGTATGCGTCCGCGTCCGCCATGAACGTGTCTTTGCAACGACGCCTTCATGGCGGTGCCGAGGTCTACCTACCTTGCCTATTGTTAACGACGCAAAGAGGATATTGAGAGAAGTGACCGAAGCTAATCATGACGAAAGGTACCTAGGCGTCGGCAACCAACATGAATACCGCCGGGCAGACAAAGGGCCTCGAACAATGAGATACCTTACCTAAGGTGAAAAGCATAGGTTCACTAAGGGAACAGAGTACATCCCAAAATCTACAGACGGTGTTGCCGCCCGGGCGCCGTTCATCTGACGGATAAGGCGATGGATTGCCGAAAAAAGACTGCCACACCGACGCCACTGATTGGCCCCTGCATGAATCGTGCGATGGCCGTCGGTTGGTCTGGTGGAATGGAAGCTAAGATGGAAGCTGTGGGTCCCTTCCTCATTCCCTGCCTTCCCTGCCCGTCAGAGTCTATGTCCCTTCTTTCTTTGGTATGCCGTATGTGTGCGCCGTGCCTGCCACTTCTTGTTTCAACTTCCAGTGCCACCTTGATTGCCGCCACACCTTCTCACCTCCAAAAAACAAAACAAAAAAAGAAGCGACGGATACCCGGTGGGAAACTCACAAGACGTCTCCTGGCAAGAATTACAATGGACGCCCGTTTTTTGAAAACTCGCACGAGGCAACACAACTGACTGGACGGGCCAGCGTGGTGGGCCCGGCTCTGGCGTGGGATGTTCAATCTGCAAAGTCCTGGGTCCAGCATCTCTTCCCGGGGGGTTCTAGCATCTGCCCTGATCAATCAATCGTCGACTATTGTCCAAACTGCAGGGCGGTCTTCCCTCCGTTCGTTACGGAAATCTGCAATCTGCGTGGTAGTTGTCTCATTGACCAGGCTCTGCTTCCTCTGCGTGGAATACGCTGGCTGACACACACTTCTGTAGCCTGTTGGTTTGCATCCAACATCTCATATCGAATTCGACTGTCCCTCATCGCCAATGCAACTAAGACAGAGCCTAGGCTAGCAACGATACGCCAGTAGACCGCCTCGAAAACACCATCGTCACCAATTGTGGCTTTGGCAACCATCTCGTCCATCTGCAAGACACGCAAGGAGCCAAGACCTGTCCGCTGCACTCTATCGTCGTGATACACGGGGGTACTCTTCCATTCATCATGTTCAGCTGCCAGTCTCGACCGCGGCCATGGCCCGTCTTCTCCAACAGCCCACGCCTCTTGTCGCCTTGTACGGGCAGGATTGGCGACCCCCACATCCGATATCGTCGATGTGCAAGACAAAATCCTGCTGGCTGACGTTGAAGCCTCCAACAACGATCGTCTCTCAGATGCAGTCACTGGTTATAAACATCATTCATCATGAGACTCTCCCATTAGAGCACGGCGGGGTAGCTGGTGCTTGCATCTGAGCTGCAAGGGCTTGGATCGTGGTCAGCCATTGCTCGTTTCAAGCATGCAACATCGAGGCTCGCAGTATACAAAAAAAGACAGGACGGCCGCCGTGGCCATATCTGAGTTACCCCCACCGCAACTTTGAGTGCACCTGACGGCTAGAATCCCACGATGTTGTCGAAACGGGAAACGGATGGGCTCGGGGCACCCAGTGCCCCAGGTCATACGAGGACTACGGCTGCTCAGCACGTCGCATCCCATAGCTCTCCGATTCTGCACCTCACGACGGACTTGGACGTCTCGCATCTTGCTGAATGGGCCATGGTTGCGCTTGGTGACACGACCCCTCCGTATTGGCATCTGCAGGCCTGCGGGCAGCCGATGCAAGTCAAATTGTCCAGCTCCTCTGTCGGGCCCCCTTGAATGGGTTGGTCTGCCGCATGCAGCACTACATGCAGCATTCTCAGCAGACAAAGTGCTTCTAGGCCGTCCAAATCATACGCCCAGTCGACCTGGCCTAGGCGTCACGTTCCCACTGTCCCAGCATCCATCGAACTTCCGTTCACTGAACCGACGACGGCCCTCATTGTTCCTGAACCCCTGCCAGACTCTGGTCCGCTGCTTGGAAGATCGTCGCCAGGAGAGACGCGGAAGCACTCTGGCAGCTGGGCCCGGACCTGGACCGAGCCCTGCCATGGGCATGCTCTGAGGGTTCGGTGAAATCTCCACCGATAAGCACCAGGCCTTGATTGCTCTAGAGCCAGGATTGCTCCCTTCCTCGTTCCAGCTTGAAGCGAAGAAGCGGACAGCGACGACTCCTGAATCCTGGGTCCCGAGCCCTGAGAAATTGGATCCTGGCCAGAGGGCTCCGAGTCTCTGCGCCTCAAGTCCCGGCCTACCAACCGACGATGGCCGCGGTTACAGCGCTTCCGCTGCCACTTAATCCTGCATGAGGAAACATATGAACCAGAGACAGAAATCAATCCATTACCATACGATCAGTCGGCCAGCACCGTCCGCAGTGCGACTCTTCTCCATTTGCGAGGGCTTGAACCCCCCTCACCTCAGGCAAGGACCAACAAAAACGAGAGCCAGGCTTTGAAAGAATGGACCTCTCACCGACTCGATCTCGAGTGGATTCCTCGCTGAAATTTTGACAATGGCGCCTTCAACCCTGCTTTTTCTCCGACGCGATTGCGACTTTTTCTTCTCACCCTTCCCACGGTGGCTGGCATCCAATAAGCGCAGCGCTAGGAAGAATGACTCCGAGATAACGATAAATTGCACTAAGCCGCAAAATCACCGTGCAGCGGTCCGAAGCCGCGCCGAACCCGGACCTACGCCGAATCGAAAGCTCCAAGATACGGGCGGCGGGCGCGAGTTTCGGTCTTTGTTAACGGCGCAGCCATCTCATCTCGCAATCGCACTTTGGCCGGCAAGTTCCTGCGAAGCTGCGATTCAAGTTTTTTTCCTCAACCAAATTTTGGGTTAAACTTCCTTGATGACGCCTAAGCACATGCTTGCCGTCGTTCGAGTCGGCGTCGTGTCACCAACGAAGTTCAAGCTCCGACTCAAGGAGCTGCAGCCACCTGCCGCCACGTTCAAGCTTTCTTGATTTCGTCACTTTTCCACACACAAAGCTACAAGCAGATAAGTTGCTTGTCACATACGCAGGCGACAGGACGCACCCTTTCACCGTCCCAGTCGTAGCCCTGCGAGGTTTGGATCCCACCTCAACTTATGCATTTCTTCGATATCTGGACATATCCCAGTCAGATTGTCCGGTGAAGCTGCACTGAGGGCGGATAGCTAGCAGAAGCGAGGTCAAGGCTCCTCAAGCCATTACCCACCAAGGCTCCGCCTAGGTTGTCCCGCCAAGCTAAGGTACGCTACAGAAGGGCCGCATCTTGCAAGGGACCAATGTATCCGTACGGACACAAGGTCAAGATCCAAAGCATTCACGATACCACGATGCGCAACTTGCAAGTCGCCTTGATGATCAGAGTTGGCGTCTCAACGGCTCAGCTCGCCGACTGCCGCAGATGGCATCCGCAGCCATGGGCCCCCACCCAATCGACTCGGCTTTTGCAAAGATAGCATCATGCCTGCTCCTGGGCCTGATGTCAGATCACCCTAGTGCCCCACTGATATCAACATGACATCTCTTTCGTACGTCTTTTGGTCCCTGGCTTCGTCTCGTCTGGGCCGTTCTGTCTCGCCCCAGTGCACATCATGGCCTGAGCATCGTTCACTGCTCATATCCGCCTGCAAAATCGAATGAGCACCGTCGGAACTGAGCGGGTCGTCCGGACATGTTCAACCGCAGCGGTTATGCGTTCTCCCGTCTTGGTAAACTGCTGCACACTGCAACAGATGTGTACGAGAGGGAGGCTCGCTGAGTCGCTAGCAATAGTCAAATCACCAAACAGACCCATCGTTTCAAGAATGTTGAATCTAGCAAGATCCATCTCGGGCACCAAGCCAGGTTGAGTCACGAAGCTTGGCCCCATCTCGAAATCTCGCCAACTACCGCCGCCTGCGCATATCCACTCTCCCAAATCTCTCACCTTCGGCCCTTTGCAGCGGTGAAAAAGAGAGGGGCCACGCCGCACCTCTAACGCATTCCTGGGCTTCCTAGGATGTGAACCTTGATACCGCACCCTTCCTGTACGTAGTAGACTACAGACTGGTTTCGACCTCTAGGACCTTCACTTTCGACCACGATTGTGGGACTCGTCCTCAGCCTTGCCTCCTGGCTCCCGAGTTCCCTAGGCACGCTAGGGTAAGCTCCTTGATATGCAGGTGCACACAAACCGCTCAGTGTGGGCCGTCTACCCGTTATCTGCGCCAACGCCTTGTCACCACAGAGGGGCGTGAAGGTTTGAAGCTTCAATAATCGAAGCTTGCGGCGACAAGAGGGAAATTTTTCCAACAGTGCTCTGCATCCATACACGTGGATCTCCCGATACGCCTGCATGCATCTCAGACACACGTTGCGGCGATACTACCGCACATTAAGAGACTTTGCGGCTGCACCACCCAAAAAGCCTCATTAAAGTCTCGTTGGACAACGAGTAAGAGCCTCAGCATCTACCCTGCTTCTTTTGGCGCCGCGTGTCGAGGCCGCCATTCACCACCAATAACATGTGAAAGGGCTCCGCCAGATTTCACTGAGCGAGGTGTTTTTTTTTCTCTTTCGTGTTACGGATACGGATACCACGACACCCTTCCTTACTCGTCTTCAACTCCTAGCAAGCTCCCAGGAACCTATCGCATATCATTTCAACAGTGGAGACTTCGGGAATTTCCATTCCCTCCTTTTTGACAACCAAAAAATGGTCAATGATCCATGACTTTACTGAAGAAGGGGGGCCCGTTTCGATTCGCCCTTGAACAGTATGGACGCCGTTCCAGAAGCATGTGCTATCTGCCTTTCCCGGGTCAGGAACGGGACGACGTAGCCCACGCATCCTGCTGCCCTGCATCCTGCAAGTCTGCGCCGGCAACCGTTCGACTTTTCGTCCCGGCTTCTTTTCGTCGATCGTGGATCGGGAACTTGATAGACTCTTTTTTCTGGCTCGGGTTTCCTCTCCCGCTCTCCCGCTCTCCCGTTTCTCTCTTCTCATGGTTTTACTGGGTGCATGGGCCCTGCAATTATTTGGCGGCTGAGCCAAGCTTGGATTGCGTTTGTTCCCGTTATCCACTAATACCATGCAGACGTAACCCGTTTTGTTCCCTTTCCTATGAACATGGCTGGGCGTGGCGTCGAGCGTGGTGGAACCCCCACGCACTCTTCCCTCTCACTGTACGAGTACACACCTCCGTGCGGCGACTAACAACAAAATTGCCAACAAACTAAATGGATGTCGCAAGATACACACGAAGTCAATTGTGGCTGGTGGCTGGTGACTTGTAAGAGGGGGACCCCCAAGTGGAATACCAGGGCCAAGGGGTCTATCGACGCTCTCGACCGATGTGCAGAGCCCAGAGCCCACTACGGAGCCGCATCTTTGATTTCGCTGCCAGTGGTGCCAATGCAGATTTGTGTCTCAAGAGGGGCGCATCCTTTTCACAGTGGGAACTCCTGAACATCTTCGGGGACCCTCAAATCACATGCAGATCGCGCGCACGTCATGATCACCTCAAAACCCTCGTGATCTACGCGCACATCAATGGAACGTTGAGGCGAAAAAAGCAGAAGAAGAAACGAGACCTTTGAAAAATCGTTTTCGTGGGTTTCGACAAATGTGAGATGATCTGATTGACATTGAGCAAAAAGTACTTTTTGGGAAAAGAATTATGGACAAAGCCCCCGCGTAGAGGGGTGATGCGATGCATTGGCTGATTTCTACACCTCGACTCCCCCAATATCTGCAACGAAAACGAAAAACAAAGGGTAGCCAACTCATTATCATACCACAAGACGATGCATATGCGGCTAAGATGGTTGAGAGGCACCCTCCGTCGGCACCGGGGCATCAGTCGGCCTGTTCCATGTTCGGATGTGGCCTTTGGGGGTTTGCATGTTAGCATGTGTCGTTGAGGCCCGATTTCGCCTCGGCGCGAGGTTCGACGACTTACCATTCTTGCAACTTGTGATGATGGCTTCCTCTGTAAATTCCAGCCAGCACAGGGGGTGGGTATCAACTGCCTTGGACTATAGCCGACATTGTAAGCATATGAGACGAAAAGGAAGCAGACTAGATGTAGAATTCCACGTGGAAGAGGGTAACCGAGGCTGACTTACAGAAACAGGAGGTAGCATGGCGATCCTCGCACGAGGCTCGACGGGGTGAACGATGCTGCTGCCGTCTTCGTCCACTGCGCCTCCAGAGAGAGTAGAGTTGGACCGAATGCGGCTCGCCGCCGTGTTGGTCGTCTCTTGTCGCTGCAAGGGGTTGGCGAACCGTGATGATACGGAGCCTCTGTGATGAACGGAAGCCTATGTCGACAAAGTCAGCTTGTTGGTCTCACGTATCCGTATACACCCTCCCCCCTCTCCGAGCTTCCCGATTCGACGCGGGGGAGTTAGGAGCTGGAGAGAAACGTACCGCCTTAGGCCGGTGCAGCATGCCGACGTTGAAATCCCACAAGCATAACCTGCAGTCTTCGCCGACACTGCCGAACCGATAGTTTCTATCGTCGCAGCGCCACGGGTCGAATGCTACCGATGTCACCCATGACTGATGACCTTGACAGCGCGCGACAATGGCCGAGTCTACGACGGACCAGATGGAGATGAGGTCATCCTGGCCTCCCGTCAGAACGTACTTGCCATCCGGTGACCATGTGATGCAGATGAAGCCGCCGTAATACGAGTTGTAGAGATCCAGCAACCTGTATCGTGTCAGTCAGATCATTTCACCTCAATGTCTCGGCAGAACCCCCAAACATACTCTTCTTTCAAGTAGTCAATGATGCGGAGCGAACCGTCCTCCGAGACGACTGCCAGATGCCTATTGTCCGGGCTAAACGCAAATGCATTGATGCGCTGATTCGACAGCTTCCACGATGCCACGGGATTCGTTTTCTGGTTCTTTGAGTGGACCGACTTGTTGATCTGGATCTTGAGGTTATGGTTGACGCCGTTGGTTGAGGAATCACTCTCTCCGTTTGTCGACGAGCCGTTTGTCGTTGCCAATTCCTCCTCGGGGGAGAACTGCGCGTCTTCCTTGTCCTTGTCGTAGACCACCAGCGAGCCATCCATGTGCGCTGCGAGGAAGAGGGACTCGGAGCCCGGTATCCAACGGATTTCTGATACGGGCGTGCCGTTGATGATGCCCTGGGGTATTGTCAGCCTACCTAGTTTTCTACATTCAAGCAGTATTGTTCCAAAGACCTACGTTCTTGTTCAACCGAGTATACCGTTGCGAAACAGGTTCCCACCAGATGATCTCTCCCGTCGAGAAGCCCATGATTACGTCAATATGTGCAATGTTCTTGGTGGTGGGGTTCACGTCGTGACATAGGCAATGGGCCTTTGTGAACAGAATCTTGGTCAAGTAATCGGCCTTCAAGCACGTTAGGAAACGAGCCCTGCATGCAAATTGGGTATGTTAGATAGAGACTGACCTTTGTTGGTGATGACAGATCCAGCCACTGAAACGCTCGATTAATATTGGTAAAAGCAAAGACGCCGTCTGTCGGCCGCTCCTGAAGCTTCTTGGCCAGGCTCTCGTTCACAATGACCCTAGAAATGAAGGACGAGTTGCTCTTGGTCATGTTGTTCTTGGGCTTGGCCACCTTCTTCTTGGCTGCATCCTTGGTGTTGGCCGGCGCGAGCGCTGTGTTTCCGTCTCCGAACGCCGGCGCTGAGACCATGGTCAACGACGATGTCGGGGGCGCAACGCCATCACTGAGAGAGGCACCGCGGCCGTCCCCTCCATCGCTGCTGAGCCCGGCCTCAGTGGAGTACCGTCCTTCGTTGGGGTGCTCCTGGATGTCACCGCCGAGGGACGATGAGAGCGTGGTGGATGTGCTGGCACCCTTGTTGTAGAAGAAGGGGGGTGAGGCGCGGACGTCGAGGGATATGAGGGAGAGCTTTGTGCCGGCGGAGGCGGGCTGGGGGGTCGTGGCGAGCGGGTTCGGGTTGACGACGGGGGCTTCGGAGGGGTGCGGGGGCGGCGTAGCGAGGTGGAGGTCTTCTTTGAGGACGTAGGTGCCCTCGCCGACGAGGAATTGGTATTCGGGGCCTTCGGGGTTGGAGAGGATGTTGTTTGTCTCGATCATGGGAGCGATGCCGGCGCCGATTGCGCCGTAGGCGCCCGAGTGCGAGGGGTATCGCGGGGGAGGGGGGAGGACGCTGTTGGTGTGGGCGATTGTCAGCCGGTGCTCTATGTTTAGGGGTACCAACATTGCAGGCAAGAGTTTCTGGTGTGTGCTGCTTGAGGATGGCCGGGAATGGCTGTCTCGTACCTGCGTGATGTTTGACATCGCGCAGGTTGAATGGATATGGGTTTGGATGGGCGCTGGCTAGATTTGCCCGCGGGCAAGAACCAGCCGAGGTCGGGTAAACTCACAACATGATGGGCTAGTATTATATATGATCCAGATCTACTATGGAGTTCAATTGCTACGTGGGCAAAGGTCGATCAGAGGCACGCAAGTGTTGAGCCGCGACGTCGGGACGTGAGGTGGTTGGAGGTGGTTATCGTCGGGCGCTCGGGACAGTGGTCTGCGTGGGTTCTATTCGGCTCCGCCTCACGTCACTGGCGGCCCCGCGAGTGGAAATTCCTGGGCCCTGATGATGGCGGGTGACGGGGAACGGGCGACGGCCGAGGCTGACAACGTTGACGTTTTGGGAAGGTCGCACGTATAACGCCAGTTACAGAGAGAGAGAGACGGCTTTTCGGTGAGGTATCGATGATCGGATGGTGAGAATCGGTCTGGCGTGACGGTAAGGTGTGGAGGGGGGAAGAGAGAGAGGATGCGTCGCCGCCAATGACCAGATGAACTCAGGAAGAGTTCATGTACGGCGCGGAGGGGATGTGGTGGTGGTGTAGCACCTTATTAATAGAGCGAGTAGGTGAGAAAGAGAGAGGTTGAAGGTGTAAGGTACTCCGTAGGTGTAGGAACGAATAGGCAGGTTCGGTTCCGGTCCGGGGTTGGTTCGTCCCAGGCGGAAGGAGTGCAGGTGAGCCTGTTGAGGTGCGCGCCAACCACAACCCACCATAATCAGTCAAGAACCCCCGAGGCTGCGTCTGCTCGTTTCCAATTCGGGTCCCCCGCCCTTTTCCCATACACGATTCCTTACCTTACCCCCCGGCGGATGTGCCAATTGTCCCCATTTTCCCAACACCAAGGCTCTGTCTTCATGGGCAGGCGTGGCAGGTCAGCGGCATGGCAGGGGACGAATGCTGCAGGTTGGGGGTATTGGGGCATGGCTTATCCCAGGGGGAATGAGGGCCCCCGGGTCAGACGCGGAGAAGGATTGCTGCGACGTGAGTGGTGGGAAGGGGAAGCAGGATGGGAGGGGTGGAGGGGGAAGAGTGGAGGATCCCCGACTGACAGACTGTGGGGAGAGGTAATACTACTGCGTTGTATACCCAGGAACCCGAGCAGCAGCATCATGGGATGATGAAAGTCCATCGTCCCCGACTATCGGGATTTAACCTGGGGTATGACAACGACAACGGCACGTTGTTTCCCCTTGAGCATCAAGATGTGGGGTACGAAGTTGAAGAATGAGGTCAGGGGTGTTGTGCGTTGTTAGTTGAAGAGATGGCCAATGTCACGGTGTCACCCAGACCGGTTCATAAGCTGAATGGGCCAATACCATGATCAGGTAGCTATCAATAGTTGTGCGGCAAATCCTGAGACATCACTAAAAGCTGTGGTCAAAGTTGAGGATATCATCACTGAACCAATTCAAAGAGCTTATTGATTGGATTGCAAATCTTACGTAAAGAGATGTCTTGGTCGAAGGCATACGGAGCCATTTATCCGGGACTGACTGTCTTGGAGCATGTTGATTTTCTTGTGTACGGAGTACGGAGTATTCCACTATGAACCAGCAGGAAGGGACACAGCTCTATAAGTAGGCACCAACACATGTTTTTTACCTTGGTTGCTAAACTCAAAAAGAGAACCGCAAGTATCTTACAAGACTTGTGCGGGACTGAAACTCATGCAATAGATATAACTTTAGTCTACATAGTTGTTTCTGTCTCTCTTCAATGCAGACAGAAAGTGAATCAAAAGAACGAGTCTTTTGCTAGACATTCCTGTTCATTCCACGAAGACTTACATAATCCACCAAGATGCTCCGGCCTGTGTGACCGCCCCGGTGACCGCAACTTGCATCG